ACTAGCGTAAGGAAAAAGAAGAAATTAAAAAAGGCCTAAAAAAAAAAACAGGTGGGCCAACAGACAAAATGAGACCCAATAAAATCTTGAGCAAAGCAATTATCTCTTGAATGTGTTGGGGGAAGCAATTCTGAGGTGAGGGACGTCAATCAGATCTCCATGTAGTAGGAAGAGAAGTGGAGGGGGGGGGGAGGCGAAGACAGAGATTGAATTTGACCTAAGTCCAAATCTAGCAGACCAATGTGCATGTTTATTTCCTTCCCTGTAGTTGAAAGTAAAGGTGACATTGAGTTGAGAAATGAGCACTTTGATCTGCTGAAGCCAATGTGTCTGATGCCAGGGACACTGCTCCTCCGAATCCAGTAGATTAATCACCACTGTAGAATCCACCTCCACTCATAGATGAATCCAATTTGCCTTAACAGCCAGTTTTAAGGCCCAAAGCACAACAATTAGTTCATTCTCAATAACATCAGCAGCCAAGACTGGGGTATGAAAGTATAAAAGACACTGACCAAGATGGTTCCTATAAGCCCCTCCCACTCCAACACCAATTTCAGTGAAGCTTCCATCAGTATTAATTTTGACAATATGAAGCATAGGAGGTCTCCAAAGCACTTTACAAATCAGAAGGGGAGTCACACTCTCAGTGGGATAAGAATTGCAGATATTGGGGAATCTTTTATATTTTATCATTTTATATAGATAAGTTACACAGTTTCTCAACACCTGAACAACATTAGAGGGGTTTCTCTCAAAATTGGCATTGTTCCTGGACATCCATAAGAACCAGGCCACCAGGAAGGGGATAGGAGCATAGTTGAGAGCATGCCAACTATGCCAACAAGTATGGAGGTTGGCCCAATTAAGATTAGTGACAACTAGATTCAGGTGTTTAAGAAATTGATACAAGACTTCTTGAGGAGAACTGCATTCAAAGAAGAGGAGGTATTGATTCCTCCTCCAAACACAACCAACATCTAGAAGGGCCCTTCAATCCTTTGAGCTTGAGAATGTCATCAGTTGGCAGGAATTTGTGAAAGGTTCTCCAGCATAAAAAGGGCATAGAAGTGGAAAGGAATTTATTCCAGGTAACTTCTTTTCAAGGCACCTGCTCCCAGCAGAAGATTTTAGAATAAACAACTTTAGTAATACTTTGGTTTGCATAAGCTTACCAAATAAGTTTATCAGATCTGTTTCTGTCACACACACACACACATGCACACACACACACACACATGCACACACACACACATGCACACACATGCACACACACACAAACTCAATTAGTATATATAGCATGAGACCTCTCAGGTCGGGGGTTCAATTCTTCTCGGACATAGTTGGTCTTAAAAAGGTGGTACTCGAATTGTTAGGCACATTAGGGGTGGCTGGAGGGCTCGTATAACAACCTCTGGTAATTGTGTGTGTGTGTTCATTTTTGTATCGACATGAATATTTTTTCTCCATTGCGTCTACTCTCCTAACAAGATCATCAGATGGTCGACTTTTAATGTAACCAAACCATCTAAGACGACTCTCACTAATCTTGTCAGCCATTGGAGCTACACTAACCCTATCACGGATATATTCATTTCGTATTTTTGTCTCTAAGTGCCAAGCCACTCATCCATCTTAGTATTCTCATCTGAGCAACACTTAACTTTGTTTTATGCTTTTTATTTATAGGCCATCATTCTGCGTCATAGAGCATTGGAGGGTTCACCACCATTTTGTAAAGTTTTCCTTTAAGTCTAAGCAATACTTTTCTCTCACACAATAGCTCCGATGCATTCCTCCACTTCAACCGGCAAACTTGAATTCTACTAATAACATCCTCATCTATATCACCACAGTTTGAACAATAGAGATGAGATATCTAAAACGATCACACATTTTAATGATTTGATCACCCATAATTACCACACTGCCACTAGAGGACTACTACTAAAATTACATTCCATGTATTCAATTTTAGATCTACTCAAACGAAGGACTTTAGACTCATGTAGACCTCCATAATTCAAGTTTTTTCTGAACTCTTTCTCTAATCTTATCCACAAGATGGATATCATCAACGAAAAACATACACCAAAGTACATCCTCCTGTAAATGTCCAGTAAGAGCGTCCATAACTAAAGAAAAAAATTATGCGCTTAAAAAAATTATGCGCTTAAAGTCGATACTTGATGTAATCCAACTGAAATAGAAAAATACTTTGTCAATCAACACAAATAACAAACCTTGTGTTCATATTTTTAATTACTTGAATATAAGTCAAGTCAACTCCTTTCTCTTTAGAGCTCTCCAAAGGACTTCTCTTGGAATCTTATCGTAAGATTTTTCTAAATCAATAAAAAAAATATGTAGATCCTTCTTATTCTCCTTGTACTTCTCCATCAAACCTCTGAATAATGTATAGCTTTCATAGTAGATGTTCCCGACATAAATCCAAACTAATTGTGAGAAATCTATTTATCTATAAATATATTTATTTGTATGTATGCATGTATGCACGCGCACACAATACACACACACACACACACACACACATACATCTATAAATATTGATGGATGCATACATACACACATACATACATATCTAAAGGTACATATACTTTAAGATTACTTGATCAAGAGTAAATATTCAGAAGATATAACTTTGAGTTTAATGTTTTAAAAATATTTTAATTGGTTCATGGATCACATCTTTATAATCAAAAACATTCATTTATCGATGGGGTAACATATGTATATGACAAAAATATAACTTCAAATTTCAAGTTTGCGTGGATAACATTTTTATATTGCATGAAGCATTCATTTATCAATGGGTTAAGGTAAATTTTAAGATTGGATTGACATGACTTGTATTTAGTATTCACCAATTAATCTTATAATTATGCATATCCTTGTTTTCCTTGGCACATATTTCTAACTCATAAAAGGAATTTAATAGGAAAGGGAAAAAAATAGTTTCACTTGATTTGATGATGCCTTATTGATGAATTAGAAGTTTTTCTTTTCTCCTTGAATCAGAAGTTTTATGTTGAAGGAAACCCATTGTAAATTGGTTTTAAGGTGGAGCTGTTCGTTGTATAGATGGTCATGTATCTTTGGATTGTTGAATTACTCTCTTTTTTAGAGCAGGCTATAGGATTTTGGATCTATGTTTCTTTGACGTCAGATGATGCGTTGGGTGTTTGATAGGTTTTTAGGACTTTTGGATTGGTAGCGGAAGTTTTAAGGTTTGAGGATGGCAATGGGAAAATGTTAACTTTCTTAGCCTTTCTTACATTTTTTAACTGAAACTTTACTATAGTTGATGACTATGTTTTTTTTTTCGATGGAAAGAATGAGGAAGTCAAAATTAGAGTTTTAGAATATTATCCAACTACTTAGATTATCTTAGATCACCATGATATGTGTATTTCAAGCTATGTATTTTATAACCTGTCACTACAGTTGTAAAGTAGGATTTACGGTTTTGTGTGAGGGCTATAACTCAGTTCTTGTAAGGGTTGAAGCAATTTGAGGCTTTAGGATTGTAACGGGGATGCACAAGCACTAGTGCAGAGAGGAATAAAGATATATTATGATTTGAAAGCTTTAGTTGATTCATATATTGATCAAAAGTTAGCGACACCAAGTCCTTGTAGATGCAAGTTTTTGCAAGAGGTTAAAGTTATTTTTCATTGAAGCAATGTGTTACAAATGATACATTAAGTGTTGCAGGGAAATAAGAAAACGTAAATGAAAATACACCAAGTTCCCTCCCTGGAAGTTCATCTTAGGGTTGTAAAACTAAAACAATGTAATAATCATTTAATTCTTAGATTGCCATTGGAAATTGTTAATTTGATTTGATTGATGAGCTTCCTAAAAAGAGGTTTAGTATTTAAAATATTTTTTTCAAATCTCATATATGCTGCCGTCCTTTTTTCTAGATAAAATAAAATAAAATAATATACAATGAATTGCCATGATAATGGTCCTTTGAAATCAATATAGTAAGATGCCTCTTGGCTTGTCCTATATCAAATAGAGAAGAGATGATGAAGAGAATAGAATAGGGATGTGTTGGTTCTAGTTGGAGAGGAGAAAGTCTTAGATGAAGGGCCATCCCATTAATCATTAGATTTTGTAAAACCTAATGGAGCCATTATTTATAGAAAAAGGCTTAAGCATTTTATGACTAATAAATTTGAAGGAAATCACCTGGATCACCAGCTTTTCCTCAATTATGATGGAAATATAAGCAAAAGCACAATAGCACCTAAACTAATCCAAGGGTACACTGCATCAAGGTGTTAAAATCACCCAAAAGTATTTCAAAGTAGTGTAGGAGGGCATTGTGCATATAAAATGACAAGCATCATCAATAAAATGAGAGGAATAGCTAGAACTTATTCTTCCTTGGTAATAGATTTAACATCCTTCGCCTGAATAGTGCAAAAAGGCCATGTTTGCAGGAAACTAAACCTGAGCATAGAAACTTAACAGGTTACTTTTGTTTGAATTGTTTGGGTTGCTTGCAAATATCCATCTTTATTATAAATCAATTTCAGATTTAGGAGGTCTTGGAAAGAGGAAACTATACCTTCTCACTGTCTCTGCAACCAAGAAAGAAATGCAGTGCCTACATCCTTACTATTTCCTGAGATCATTCATTATGACCACTTTTTGTAATTGCCAACCATCTAAATGCCTCATAATGTGCATATTCATCTGAACTTGGTAGGAAGTTCTGTTAATCATTGAAAAAATGCTCAGATCACATTACAATTCTTAAACTATACTCCAACTTGCAAAATTCATCTAATAGGTGGACCATCTAGTAAGATAGGAATGCATCACACTCAAGTGCCAGTGAGACATGCTCCTCTCAGCATCATAAAAACCATCATCAGATTTGAAGAAATCATTTGTCCGTTTCTAGCACAGCATAATTATATATGTAATGCTGACAGTTCCTTATTGCTTTTTTCTAACTGGTGCAGATGAGCATGATTCTTCACGAGGTTCTAAGACTATACCCACCTGTGATTCTCCTGGGCCGAACGACCTACAAGAGTACGGAGTTAGGAGGTATCACTTACCCCAAAGGTGTTATTCTTTCTCTGCCTGTAATCTTCATTCACCATGATCCCAAAATCTGGGGAGAAGATGTTCTTGAGTTCAAACCAGAGAGATTTACAGATGGCATCTCAAAGGCTGCAAAGAATAATCAGATGGCCTTCTTCTCATTTGGTTGGGGTCCTCGCATATGCCTAGGCCAGAACTTTGCGATGGCTGAAGCCAAGATGTGCTTGAGCATGATTCTTCAGCGTTTTAGGTTCGAGCTGTCGCCATCCTATATCCATGCTCCATACACTGTCATCACGCTTCAACCTCAGCATGGTACTCAGATCTTGTTGCATAAACTATGATACATTTATGTGGGTTACACAATTCAGTAAATGACAGCCATACTGAATGCATCGCAATTCAGTTTTAGATCTACCTTTTCTCTTGTTTTAGTTTGTTAAAAAACTGTTTGTTCGGTTGGAAGCTCTGTTAATTCATACTGCATGTGTAGAAAAATAAAAGAAGGCTGCTGCAATATGAAACTCTTCTCCTCAGGATGTAATTCAACTGTTTTAGATTGTTATTATTAATTCAGACAGCTTGTAAATAGAGCCAGGCTATGTCTTATGTACTATTTGATTGTATTTAAATTGATTTTTGTCGTGATCCTTTTTCAAATTGCAGAACACGGTTGGAGAATAAAGATTGATAAAGATGGCTGTACAAAAATGCATGCGCTAAGGAATGGCATATCTACCATATTTTTGTAGTATAGAGAAAAGGAAGAAGGATCCTGTGAGGGGGAAGAAAGAGAATGGGTAAAGCAAGTCTTTTCTCTTATTTCTTTTCTATTATATCCACAATTGATGTACACAAAAATATAAATAGAGAATAAATGCAGTGAAGCTACAATATCTAGTAGGTAAAAGATAGGTTAACTAATAAACTAATGTGCAATGAACAAACTCCAACATTCCCCCTCTAGTTGGGTTGTTGAAGTATCCTGGATGATGATGATTTTGGATCGAAGTTGTGATAGAGTAGGTAGTTAGTAGTAATGTTTTAGTAAGAAATCTAGGTAACTCACATTATGAAGAAAATAGTGGCTATTGATAAATTAAATAAATGATTCTAAATTTTATTTTTGCATTCAAATACATCTAAGAGAAGAAAATATCATCTAAACAAATACACGATTCAATGACAAGAATAAAATTGTGAATGTTTGGTCCAATGTTTTTAAATTTTTTTTCAACTTAATTTGATTAAGCCCGAGTATATGTTTCCTCGAAAAGTAATCATTTATATCTAATTAAGTCCAAGAAAAGCCATTTCTTGAGAATACATTAAGTTATGTTAAAGTAGTGATAGATATTTATAGTATTTCAATGTTTGTAATTAAGGATATTCTTTCAGATTTTCAATCAGATATTAGATGCCAAATAAAGATAACTTCGAAGCACCCAAAACTATCGTGTAAGGCTTTGTGTTTTAAAATTTATGATATTAAGGGCTTACATTTTAGTAACACAAGGCCAAGGCAGTCATAAATCATGATGTAATGGTCAAAGAACTATTAGTCTCAAACCCTGTAACATAGATGAGAACCACATTTGTTATGAAAACATGAACCTAAATATAATAAAGTATATTGGACTACTAGCTTCAAATTTATTAGGGATTTAAACATACTTGAATTTATTGGATTTGCAAACTTCCCAAGAATGGAATTCTAACAAATGCAATTAATTGCTTCAAATCCATGATGTTGAGTCTTTGTGGAATTTGTGTGGCACTAGATGTCTATATATAAGCAAACGAACAATCTTAAGCACTCAATCTAAAGATAATACAACTGACCAAGAAGATCCAATAATCAAGAGCAGAATGAAGGCCCTTAAAGAAATTTACATATTTTCTTTTGTATGAATGTCATATGATTTTTTTTTTTTATAGTTTGAAAATTTAAATTTCAAATTTCAAATTGTTATGGTTTTGGAATTTAGAATTTTAATTATCATGGGTAAGTGATTTAAAATTAATACAAATTAATTATTTTATATTGATGTTTTTTAATAGTTTTTTTTTTAATTAGCATGTCTAAAAATTACTTATTTGAGTGGTGGCTATAGATTAAGTGGACTAGGATAAGATTTTTGCCACCCCGCCACAAGAACACCCCACTACAACTAAATCCCTTGCCCTCCATCTTCTTTTGAATTAAATTTAACATAAGAACCTATGTTTGGGTTTTGTTAGAAAGAATGAAGTGGATGCTAGTGAGATCTAGCGAAAGAATAGGCTAGACAACGAGCCTCACCGATTAGAAGAGATTTGGTGATCCCTTCCACTAATCACTTAGAATAGTGATTAGATCATCATTTTTTTATAAAAATCTTTTCTTTTGTTGTTGTTGCGTGCATCTACTATTTTTCCCCATCATATGTTATTTTTCAGTAATGTTTGTGCACAAAATCCCACTACAATAACTTAGGGCTATCAATAACACCTAATTTTGTTTTAAAGTTCAATTGGGAGCTCTAACCATTTAAAACCATTTTTAAAAATTTAGAATTAAATTATAAATCCTTATCTACCATATGAAACTTTTTTAAACTGTTTACTTTCCCCACAATTCACTTTTTAATGCCTAAAATCCAAGAATTACACCATTAACTAAGCTTGAATTTAAGTTAACCTAGTAATTAACAATAAACTTTTTTTTATTTTGAAAATTTAAAATTAAATCATTTCTCAAATAACTCCAAGCATTTTCAAGCTCTAGAAACTCCCATTTTTCCTAAATCAAAATTTCAAGTTAAATTTGTTACTCTCGAGTTGGACTAGTTTTTAGCATAAGCCCATTCTTTTGTTGTCTTGATCCTTAAAATCTAATCAAATTAAAGCAATACATCATTATTAGGGATTTCTAGAATGAATCCAAAGTCGCGAGCCAACATTGGGCCTCACACTAAAAATACATGATATGTTAGACTTATTTTATTTTAACAATTGAAATTATAACCTGGCCATTGAAACATTGACATTCCTATTTGATGTTCTTCGCCTTAAAACAAGGTGAAATATTGACATTCCTATTCAAGCACACTATTGTAAACAAAGCAATCCATCAAATATTGGCCACACATAATGGTCACAAAAGGCTTAAAATTTATTTTCTTATTCCTATAATTATTTTAACTATTTATTTTTTAATTTTTACTAAAAAAAAATTAATTATTAGGAGTTACTATCACAACTAAGTAAATCATGCAGTTCTAGTGTGGCACCAAAGCGACTAATATGAATAAACAGAACAAATGTTATCTAATTATACTATAAATCCAAAGTAAATAAGAAACAAGAAAATACAAACAACACTAAGAAAAGGAATACATGTGGTTGGGTTACATAGTCCACCAAAACAGATGCATAAAGACAATTGTAGTTTGTGTTAATACAACTCTGCCAAATTTCATATAAGGATGAATCCACATTGGTCTTCTAACGTTACCTACAAACTATTCCTTGGAATTACTAAAGGATTATTTTTATTTGTTTAATTGTTCAAATATTACATGCCTTGCATGCATTTCTTAATTATAATTAAACTTAGAAAATTAAAATTACTTAACTGCTTATATAAATTATGTTTTAGTAAATGTGAACCCGCCATCCAAGTCATTGAACATAATAGAGGTGGGTAAAGTGACACTTTTTAAAGTTAAAAAGTCATAAAAAATGACTTTTAGTTATTTTCTTACTATTATTTAATATTTGTGATATCATGACTTATGTAGCTTGTAACATTTTTTTTGGTGTGGCCATTATAGTTTTAATATGTGTAATAT